GTTAATATAAGCTGCTCCTTTTCTGATTATTCACTCAGATTCAGTTTAGCTGTGTGCCAGAGATTACTCAAGTTATCCTCAAGCCCAAGCTCCTCAAGTTGTTTTTATTCTTGTGTGTGAAATACATAATTAATCCCTTTTTGAATAGGAATTCCAAGAAGAATTCCGGTCCAGTCCCAGACTGATTCATTTGTTTTATTGCTTTGATAAACTACAAACATCAGATTATATTGTGGCCTTTTGTGCCCAATAGATCAGATTAGTATCATTTTAGTTGTGCTACTCAATTATTTGGTTACTCTTGCAAGTTGAGTTTGATTGAGTTGTTTTATTCAATTACTCTGTGAAATACAATTACCCCTTTAAAATAAGAATTACTAAAAGGAATTCCTAGTCCCTGTCCTGGGCTGATTGTGTTTCATTTATTGGCACTCAACATCAAGTTATATTGGCAACATTCTGTCCTCAATAACCTCTATGAGCTGATTGCCTGCATTTGTTCTTTTATCAAATTGTTCTATTGTGAAATCAACTCAATGTGATACATGTGATTTAAGCTCACAAATGGAATTTTTACATTTGCTGACCATTGTCAGTAATTATGTGGAAGGTTGGAACAGACAATTCTAGAAATTAATATATCCAAAATAACTAATACATCCAAATATTTTGACATTTTTTTAGGCAACTATTGAAGAAAGGCATGCGTGGCAGAATAATTTGGTATGTTAAAAGTACAACAAATCTATGCACAATGTACAATGAATTTGTCTGAGGAAAGACCATGAATATACCAGTACATTCCAGAATTTACTCCATTTTTCTACACAGCCAATTTAGGATTGACCTGTGATTTATTGGAATAGAGTGAGGGAGAGAATCAAGCTGCCGCCATGTCATTGGATTCCTCAAACAGTACAGCGCAAGATTTTATTGAATCAAGTTGTGTGTGATTTGTGTATAAAAAATGTCAATTTTGTGTGGATCAATCTTGGGGTAAATCTGAAATATACTTTTATCTTTCTTTTGGGATTTCATAAGGAAATCCCCAGCTGAACCCCACAACTGATTCTGAGTTTCATTTTCAAATTCCATGGTTTGTGTCATTCTAATCCACAAAAAATTGGTAGCAGAGGCATGTGATTTGGAAATTGAACATTTTTCTCATTCTTGTTGCTTTTTTTTCTTTTTCACTTTGACTCATTTTCTTACATACTCCCATGTCTAGTGAAACTTTGCCTGAAGTTCTCCCTCAGGCTTCCACATCTTGGAGGGTGGTGAGTCTTCCCCTGTCCATCTTCCTCCCCCTATTGAGCCTGACCCTTCAGCTTCTTTGTCTATTTCTAATCCTTCTGTTCCAATTCCATCCACCTCTCCCTTATCTTTGGCATCTTATCTGTCTTGCATGCATCTCTGCTTTTTGTTTTTCCAAATTATTCCTAGCAGAGCCACTGTTGGTCTATCAAAGAGCCCTGCTCTGTTGGCAGACCAAGGGGGGATTTTGTGATGGAATAATTTGGTACCTTTATGTACTGCTGTACCTGCACACTGGCTGCTGTTAGATGGCAGCCATATTAATTGAATACTAGAGATTTTAATCTGTACCCTTCAAGGGTTTTACCAAATCAGGTGTGCAGAATAGCAGACTAAAAAGATTCGTGTTGCAACTTGCAATGCAAGTGTGTGATTGTGAAGGTTATCTTTTTATCCACTGTGATTTGTGTGTTCTTGTGTGAATCAAATCTTTGAGGTAAACAAACTTAAAATACAATTTTATCTTTTTCTTTTGGGATTTCATGAAAGAAATTCCCAGCCAAACCCCACGGCTGATTTCATGTTTTATTTTTGAATTAATTTCTGCCTCTTTTTGTGTGAATTTAACCCACAGCATGTATACTGTTCATGCTTGAGAACCATGAAAGAAACAAAAACAGAAAAACTCAAAAGCATTACAGTAGGCTTCTTGGTATTTTCAGCAGGTAAATGAATACTGTAAGCACAAGAGACACATTTATTATTAAAATACATTAGACACGTTGGGTCCATAAACTTCGGATTAATTGGAGAAGCAGCAGTGTCTGAGAATATTAAAGAAGACAAAGATGACCAAATTACTGAACTTTTAGAATTATTATTTATTCTTCAATCTTTTTGAATTCTCATTAGATTGAAGCATATTTAGCTTGTACTGTACCACATAATTGTGAACCAAACTTTCCAAGTGCCAAATTATTGTGTACTGAGGTTGCATGTACAAAATCATTGTGTCTCAATTGTGTTAGTACCAAATTGTTGTGTCCTAATAGTCTTTGTAACAAATCAGCATGTACCAAAAATTGAGAGACCCTAAATACTGTACAGTACTACTGTACTCTTACCATACCTGCCACGTTGCAAAATTTTTGTGATCCAAAAAACAACTCTACCAAAGTCACTGTGGCAAATAAAGCTTGTCCCCAAGTATTTTTACAACATTTATCTGCACTTGCCTGCAATACAGGCCTCTTAATGGGACAAAAAGGATTTTCTGGGAAATTGCTGCCAGTTTTTGTTGATTCAGATTTGAGACAGAAACCAGGAAACACCAAGGCAAGTTCATTTTTTTTTTCTTTGCACTGAGGGTATTTTAGAAACTGAAAAACTCATCTTAGACACTTACGCATGCAAGTTTGGTGGAGGTTATTAGCGATTTTTTTTCAGTTGATAAGAAATCAGCTGAAAGGGATTGGGGGTGGGGGGGGGGGGGGGGTTGCCATCATCACAGCAAACAGCAGTTCCTTCAAAGAATTAACCAAGAACTTTTTTCTCAAAATTGAGGGGGGGAAAGGGGGTGCGTATCGTAGACGGGTATACATTTTTTTTTCAAGTTCAAATGTTCAGGTTTGCATTACATTAATGGGAAATTTTTGGACCTATTTCAATAGGATGACTTTTAGAAAGAACACTTTTTCAATGGAAATAGCTGAAAATTGGTTGAATTCAGGATAAATTCAACTTCGGGGAGATTTACTTTTCAGGATGGAGTATTTCATTTTCTTCTCGAGTCACTGAAAATGGGGTTCGCGTCTTTTTGGAGGATCAAATTTCGACTGAAAAACCCTGGTGCGCTTCTTACTCAGTGGTGTTCGAGTCAATATGGAATACAAAAAAAAAAAACCAAAAGTAACTTCACCCATCAGGATTTCCTCCACATCTCAACACACTTGGCAGCAAACTCCTTCGCAGACAAACCGGACCACGGCGGACACCTCAACTCGTCTCCACTACTCCTCACGACCCGAAGGTCCTCACTCGGAAACCGGATCGGAATATCAACGAAACACGTCTCACTACCACCGAACCCGAGGATCATGAACGTAAAATCCCTCCCGTAATCCGAAACCACGCCTTCGGCCAAAAACCACTTGACCAACTCTCGCCTAAACCATTCCTGCTCCTCCGCGACATCCACACACGCTTTCAACTCTTTCAACAACACTTTCAACGATCGGATCCACGTTTCCGACGACGACGATGACGACTCTTCATTCGCCGCCTTCAAACACGTTTTCAAACGGAGTTTCTGGTCTTCCGAGATGGGCTGCAGCAAGTGTTCGGGGAGGCTCACTTTGAATCGCGGCGCGGAATGGGAAAAGACTCCGCACCGGCCACTGATCGCGATCCGAGCACCTTTGAGATCCCGCAGCGAGATGATCATCGTAAAGGTCTCGTCCTTGACGTAAAACGACGCGAATTCACAGTTGGGAAGCCCGGTTCGGTCTTCCAAGAACACCAGCAAGTCTTCGATCCGGGTCCTCAACTCGGCATTGGCTCGAAGCTTCACGTTCGCGTCGTGACGAGATGCCAGTTTCAAGACGCAGGAAACGAGTCGCTCGAGCCGCGATCCGTCGTTCCAATTCCAATCCTCGAGACACTGTTCAATTTCCTCGAGGTTGGAGACATCCGGAGACAGATGGGGACTCAGTTCGATGTCCGGAGGTCGGTCTGGACACTGAAGCGAACACCGGACTTGAAACGACACAGAGGGTAAACAGGGTTGCTTGACTGTCACCGAGAATTGATTGCAAAGAGGGATCGTGGCGTTTGAAGATAAAGGATGGCCGGTGAATTTCGCGCGATGGATTTCAACTTCCAGTCCGGGGTAGGGACGCTGTAAGATGGCCGCAACGTGAGGCCGGATATGCGGCGCAAATACGTTCACGTCCGTCACCTTTGCCATTTCCGCGCACAGGAAAAGAAATCAACGGAACCGCTTCTTCGACCTGGAAGGAAATTGATTATGAAGCATGCGCAAATATGACTCAAGACCCCTTTTTTTTTTCTTTTCCAGAGGATGAGGTGGCACAGGATTACCTATCCTGCCTGGATACCATGTTCATGGGGACTGGAGACGAAGTTATAATGAATCTTGGTGGGAGAAGTGAACAAACAAAAAAAAAATGCTTCAAGCCAGTTCCCAATTAGGGAAACACGCATTTTTATTGGGTTGAAAGAAGATCAGAGGAAATGCTATGTATTAATATTTATAGCCTCTAATTGCTTCTTAAATGAGTTGACAGGAAGAAAAAATTGGAGGCAAGGGTTCATTTTCCCAATTCATCTTTCACTTCCTCTCAAAACACATAACATTACATTTTTAATGCTTTCCTCTTTTTTGCTTCAATCAAATACCAAAAGGCTTCCAGAAAATTTCAGTTCTGGAGGTTTGCTGGGAATGCCTTTGAGTAAAAAAGTTATATCAATTTTTTTAATTACACATGATGAATTTTTGGTTTTCCAAAGATATTTGTGAAGACTGTTTTCCAAGAGTGGTTCAAGACCAGTTTTAAAATCATCTAAAATTTATTCGATATTCAAAAGTCATTTGAATTTTCTCTTTAAAAAATGACAAAGAAACTCAATACTAATTTTTTTTTTTAATTAGGGGCTGGTACACCGACAGGACAGGTAAAGCGTTCCATAATCCTCAACTCTCATTTCTAAATTCATCAACAACAAAATTCAGCTTCAACAAGTCTTTAATGCCTACAACAAATCGTTTCACTATCTTTTAGTAAAGGCACGTTTTCCAACACTGGATCTCCGGAAACCCGTGTCTTTCTTTTGCTTCCGGTCCGGTGGGCTTCCGGGTTCCTTTCCCAGCGAGAACAAATTCTTCACTTGGAACTTGGGCAAGGTGGTACTGACGCTTGTGAGATCAAACCGCATTGAGCTCCCTGGTAGAACGAATCCGAAGGAAACATCAGTTTACAAACACTTCTCACAAACGGTTGACAAAACTTTATAATTTCCGTCGTTATTCATTTTATATCAAATAAATTGAAAAAGAAAACTTGAACAGAGGACGAAGATGAATGATAGATCACAGCTAGTCCAATAAGCACATCTTTTCATCAGCTTCAACTAAGACTGCTCGCAATACCTAACCAGCATTATTATGAACCTGTTCCAAACCCGTCCCAAGAACATCTACAAGCATAAGAGCACGAAGAAAAGACAAGTTTTTGAATGCATCGCAAGAACAATAGCAATCGAAGACGCAGTTCACTGTACTCCAGTCAAAATGACATAAATCCACCAAGCCCCAGGGGCGACATCTAGGTAACTTTTGGGAGAATAAAACAACAGAAGAGCCTGGACAAACGGACCAAGGCAGTGTTCCCAAACCTAAGGTCTACAGAAGTGTTGGGTCAGTCCAAGGAAAATTGTCAGCATAATAAATTTATCAGATGTACCAATCAAGTCTGTTATCTTTATCTAAAATTTTGGAAAGACAATGGCATTTGAAATTATTTGCTGAAAATAAAAGATGGCCTTTCACCTAATAACACTTCCGACTAATTTTCACCAGCTGAAATAGATTTCTTAATATTTTGAGAAATCTTTCTTCAAGCCCAATTTTTCAACTTTTTCATGACATTCTGCTATAGCTGCTTCATCAGTGATTAACTTGATTTATGCAGAATACCAGACACTTTGAGATACCTGCCATAAAGCCTTTCAAGGAAAACCTTTTTTGAGTCTTGAAAAAATTTGATGAAACTTTGCTGGTCAGCAGGAAATTTTTGGGAATTTGTCAGTCTGCAAAAAAAATTCATGGAACTTTCCGCAGGGGACTAAGCAACTCAGGAAAAGTTAAAATTTAAGAAATACACCCCAAGATCTGAACAATACCTCAGGATATGGACACTTTGCCAAGGTTAAAAAAAATTTTGCTTTTTAAACAAAATACAGTATTGATGACTCCAGGAAAATTTTACTTTTTAAACAAAATATGGTACTTTCCTGTTATCTCTGTACCTTATTCCTAGACTGCACTACCATCCAGACAAATCTTTAGGACAAGTTCATAATCACAACAACCTACCAGTAACTGTGAATTCTATTTTTCTGCATTCTGCTGAAACTGATTTTGGGAGGCGGTTAGGTAAAGTTAGGTTAGGCCAGGTTATGTTAGTTACAAATATCTATTAACTAACATAACCTGACCTAACCCAACTTCACCTAACCGCCTCCCAAAATCAGTTTCAGCAGAAACCAAAAGAAAGCAGAGACTGATTTTGGGAGGCGGTTAGGTAAAGTTAGGCTAGATCAGGTTAAATTGGTCAGAGGGAAGGTACAGAGATAACATGAATTGTAGATACAGAGATAAGAGGAAAGTAACCAAAATACAGTATTGATTTCTCCAGGAACACCAAATTGTAATCACACGTACCAGCAGGCAGCAACAGGTCCGGTAAACTGGCATGGTTGGACTCGACACTCCACGCAGATTCCCGACACTGGCGCACAAACCTATCCACCTCGTCACCGCTGACGTTTCTAGTGACGTTCAAACTCCGGTCCAAGGGATTCTCCACGTATAACGGGGAATGGTCAGGCTTGGCACACGCTTTTCCTGTCACCAAAGACATGCCCTTGGTCTTGAAGTCAAACTGGCCCCCGAATTCGAAGAATCCAGTGAGCAGCTCTCCGAGGTTCATTTCATTCTTGCTCTCGGCTTCCGGACTCGCTTCACTCCCTGAAAAAACAAGCAAACAAGTATGAGCTTTTCGTCGGTAGCATTAATTATTACATTATTCACAGCATGAAGATATTCACCATCAGTTGAACCTCTCTAAATCCAATCTCAGGGACTTGGAAAATATTCAATTCAGGGAGGTCTTGATTTTTGGAGGTTTTGAGGTAGGGAAAAAAATCATTTTTACTGCCAGGATTAATGGATAAAATTGCAGGAAATTGTAAATGAGGATATTCTGGGCCTAAGCTTGCCTCTTAATGAGTTTATAGCTTGCTGAACTTGGATGCATGGGTTCATTTGCATAATTAGTGCTTCACTTCCCTTCAAGATGCAAAAAAAAATTTGTTTCACTGATTTTCTCTTTCATATTTCGAGGAAATAATAACCAAAAGGCCTCAGAAAATTTGACTTACAGAGGTTTCGGATAAAAATACTTTGAGTAAGAGAGGTTTTTAACGCATTGTTTCAAAGGAAATTCAGATGGGGACTTGAAAAAAAATTTGAGTTAGAAAGGTTCAAATTGTACTTGAATTTTTAAACATTAGCTATGACTTCCGGACAAGCTTCACTTTCAGACAACAAAATATGCAACAACCAGCTTTTTTATTCTCAATTTTTTTTTTAATTGTCATCCATGGTTTACTTGAGTGTTCTACAACATACGTATAATACCCAGTCTGGTACGTTGTTTCTAAAGTGGCGCGTCCCTTTCATTTACGTTTGAATACCCTTATTGTGGTCATGCATTCCTGTTAGATCCTGTTTACTTTTATCTTGCAAGTGTTCATGACTGATCATTCACCTGTTTGTTGCTTGAATCTATAAAGATGTGTCTGAACACATCTTTGGTATTCATTGTCTGTGGAGTCTCTGCTGAGGTTGGACGTATTGAGCAAATATACACTTGCGCTTGTAACAAGAAGAACTTTCATTTCATATCACCTGGCTACAGAGTTAATAACTTCTCAACAAAGTAATCCTTAACTAAAGATTGGGACAATTATTGAGTTTCTTGCAAAAAAAAAAAGACGTTTGACGCGATTAACTCATAATGATTCAAAATTTGGTAACTTAAGGTAACATAATTACCCCCGAAATTACCCTCACCTTTGAAAGCAACACGAATCACACTCGGCTCCACACACTGCAAATAAAACAGCACCAACGCAGTGAGCCCGAAATTGGAGATCCATTTCCCGGGATGCACGGTGGTGAGGCCCCGACTGCGAGCCCATTTCCGCACGGCAAATATCAAAGGCCTGACCCTCGGATCCATTTTCCCAAAGGACCACAGCAATTCGGACATCTTGGAACCCAGGGGATCCATGGACACGTCACAGTCGACGTCAGCGAGGTCGTGGCGGAAACGCACGATCGGAACCCGGGCCTGGAGTATTCTTTGCAACGCAACGCAACCCGGGGTTAGACGGGATAGAATGTCTCCCACTAGTTCTAGCTGACGTTGGGTCTGCACCCGGGGGCTGTTGGAGGCTTCCTTGGCTTGGAAAAACAGGTTGTTCTTCTGTGAGAAAAAAAAAATTTAATTAGTCCCAATTTAAATTTCACTGGAGCCTTTGTCTATACTGTACAATTAAAACACAAAATACATGAATTTTAATCCTTTTCTCTAGATTTGACCAACAGACACAGAGCTGCTTTTACCTCTTGGAAGTTGGGAACACAGGGCTCAATCACCATGTCCAGGTCAGCACCACGTTTCCCAAAGCCATTCACAGATGACCCAAAAGGCACCACACGCGGAGGGACAGGATACAAACACTGCACACTGGACAAAATTTGCTGGCAGACAAGATACCTCAGCCTGACTTCCACCTGAACAGAAATGATACACAATACTGTATTTACTCAAGTACCACACACACCTTTTTTCTCAAATTTCACAAGAAAAAAAGGGGTGCGCATCATAAGTGGGTACAAATTTTTCAAGAAGTTTTAGGAAGTTATGTGCACATTATACTTAATTATAAGGGAGAAATGTTGAACAAATGTAACAAGAAAACTTCTTTTTACTGAAAAAGTTGAAAATTGATCAGATTTTTGTTCAATTCATGTCTAGAGTCAAATTTTTTGAAAAATTGGGGTGCATGTCTTACTTGGGTATAAGATTTCAACCAAATTTCCAACTGAAAAACCCCTGTGTGTGCCTTACTCAAGGGTGCGTGGTACTCAAGTAAATACAGTAATACATGAAAAGGCTTGAGCTACAGCAGTGAAAAATAGACTGAAGGCATCCTCTCAACAGTTTTAGCCACAGACTAAGAATTATTTAAAGAAGTTTAATGACTAGTCAACTAGAAATTCAATTATTATTTTTCAGACTTGGAGTGATTTTCAAAATGACCAATCAGACAATTCAGAAGTTACAATAGCACAAGTGGACACACTCCATAGAACAATTTTCTCAGTATAAGGATTTTTTTGGTCCCAAATAATTTTCTCCACAGGTTCTCGGAGTTCCCCACAACGAAATTCTCTTTACAATGATTCAATTCTGGTCCTTTCAATTTTTCATCTAAAAAGAAATTAAACATGACCAGACAAAAAATTGTTGCACAGAGAATTTCTTAACTGTACAGCGAAATCCACATAAAAAGATGAAAAATCGTTGAACAAAGAATTTCGTTGTAGAAACGAAATTCACCGGATCAGACAAAAAATCTTTGCACTGAGGAATTCGTTGTAGAGGCGAAATTCAAAGGACCATAAAAAAGTTATTGTACTGAGAATTTCTTCGTAGGGAACTCCTATAACCTGATGGACGAAATTCTCCGTAAAACGATTCTTGTGTGGTTCTGTGAATTTCGTTGTAGAGAGAACCGACCTCCATTACCATATTGACGGTTCTTATTGTGAAACTTTTGATGGTGTATTTTATTAAAAGTTGATTT